ATTGCAGTTGCACGCAGAAGTGTGAGGCGATAGATGATGGATTTGGTGAGCATACTGCTCACTCCTCGTGCATGAGTGAGCAAGATTGAGGAGAGGCTGTCTTGTTGTTTGTATTTGAAACTGATGATAACCTCTCGTTCGTGCTGCGCTCTGCAGCACGGATTGCATGAATCACTGACGTCAGTCATGCACATCGTAGTCACTATTGTTACCTCCGGAAGGTTTTTAGATTCTTTTCCAGACAAGCCGTCTGGACAAACACACCGCAAGCCAAACACGGGACATTGTGTTCTCGGAATGCAGCGCCATTCAGTCGGCTACATCTCTGTTTGGTCGCCGGTGGCATTTCCTGCGCGGAACGTAAACACGGCTGCCGTACACAGTCAATGTCAGACGGCATACACCATATCTCGGAGCCGCTCCTAGAGCACTAACACTGAAGCTCGGCGCCACTGCTAGAGCATCTACTAACACAGAACTGCGCCGCGCCATGCCGGTGGATGGTGCGGACAGGCTCGGTGGTCTCTACGGCACGCCAGGCGGCGCCTCGCAAGCTCTGTTTATCCACTGTCACCTTGAGATGCACGGAGGAAATAGACCTGTGTTGTCGCTCTGCCTCTGGGGAGGTTAGCCCCGGGAGGCGTGTGTGCTCGCGGGGAGGTGGTGGGCCGAGCTGGCACGGCTAGGTGCCAGATCTGGTGCAAAAACTGTGCGTTGGGTGTGGACTGAAGGAGCTGCAGTGAATGTGTACACTGTTCGTTGTTGATGTAGCACTGAGGTTCCAAGGTCTATTGAAAAGACTGAAATCGCCGAGTGTCTCTCATGTATGCGTGTGTGTTCACTGTTCAGTGACGGCGAGCCGACCCGGTTCGATCCGCCGGCCGACAGTGAACCGTTAGCTGAAGGAGGATCGGTCTGATGGGTGATAAACGCACCGCAGCCCAGTGACGAACACATGTGCTACAAATGGTGATGAGATGTTGATGATGCTCTTCACGTTAAAGGGACACTCCCACCTTAACATTAGTTTTGAGTTGAGATAGCCAAATTGGTGGCCATGGCCTGCAAATACCGGTTTGGGCACTCACAACATCGACAAATGCTTTAATTCGGAGATATGGAATTTCAAACTTGCAGTTTTCGGATTCTAAGGGGCTAGTGCATTGGTATGCCCCCTTAGAATTTGTGACGTCAGCGGAGATCTAACGATTTTTAAATCTTTTACTAAAACGTTTGGTAGCACGCGGTGGTATATGCTGCTTTGCGCGCAACAAATGCCGCACTTTCAAATAAAGTCGCTAGGAACAGCGGAGATCCCAAAAAGTAAACAAAAGTAAAAGTCTAATATCTTGAAAACCGGTGAATATTTTTCGATGAAATTTGGTAGATATTCGTTTTCGCTCTTTCTGAACCGAGCGACATCACTTTCGTGCCAATTCATTAACTTTTTTGAAGGTGGGAGGGTCCCTTTAAGTAATGGCCGGTCAGGATGACGAAAGTCTCGCAGAACATCGCTGTTCAGACCGCTAGCAGCCATCGGAGCGATCTGAACCGGCGCTGGTCTGTATAGATTCAGGACCGGCGGAGGTGATCTATCATCGTAATGACAGGAATCTTACCGGGTCCATCACGACACCGTCGACCGCGGGCAGTGCAGTCTAGCCTAACCGTTATAAATGTTTGATCGGGTCGAGCCCGTGCGTGGATTCCTTGAACGTGATACCCGATCAGCCGGTCTTGATGCCCAAGTTACGCGTATCTATAGAAACTGGTGAGCCTGCTGATGATGCTGATTCTAATCACCTCAACTTGCTAATGTCTTAGCCTGAGCTGGTCCCGCTGGCATCACGTCATGGCGTGACTGCTGTCTACCGTTCCCCTTCCAGTCCCCTGTGCGCTGCACGTGTCGTCTGCGGGTCCCAGGCGATCAGACCCACCCTGCATTGTTCCTTAGCTCCCATCATCGACCGCGCCGTACCCCGCACCCCGCTCTAATCATCACCCCGCATCCCGCTCAACTGAACTGGTCGGGAGGGGATGTGTGCGACCCTGTGCCCCATCTCCCGTAATCAGACTCGTGAGGCCCGTCCGCGCTACTCTCCCGAGAGGAGCTGCTGCCGGTGGAAAGGGGAGTGCAGATTGTCTATCTCGGGTGGAAGTCGTTTGCTCTGAATGTTGGCGTTTACGATGTTGCCCTGGCGGCGCGCGGGCACCACGCGGCGCGGTTCATTGTAACTCTTTGTGGGGGCCGCCCCGCGCCGTGCTCCCCGCTGTAGCGTCATCTCCGCGGTCGGGATGGCCGAGTCACGTACGCCGGGCACGCCCACCTCTGCCGGGCAGGGCTGCCGATCGTCGACCCGTGGATAGACCTCTGGTATCGAAGGTCTCGCCAAGGTCAGAGCGAGCGCGACGAATCGTCGACAGCGCCGTACCCCGTATTCAGCCGGTGATTACGTGCGCTTTGATTTAGCGGCGGCGTCTCTCCGATCTACCCCGGGAGCCCCGGTGCCAGTTAACTCGCTGATGACTCGCAGAATAGCGGTGTGGGGGAGCATAAGCGTAGGAACCATGGGTGCAAGGGTGCAGCTGCACCCACAATATTTATCCAGTGGGTGCAGACAATGTATTCTGCACCCACAATAATCTGAACCAAAAACCCCTTTTTCATCAACACTACTTCCCATGCAGCACGGCAAATTCAGGATATGTTGCCTACTATCCATCTTTCGAAGCATTTGCTACTGTGATCAGTGATGGTCTTCAAAATTTACATTTGTGCTGAAAAAAGGGAAATGGAGCATGTGATTGAACACATACCGAACCGATGACCCACTGTCAAAAATGTTAGCCCGATATCTTCGAAAATGGCTAAGTTGGCCGCTTTTACTTTTTGCGGTAGTCAATATTGACAATATAAGCCCTCGAATGTGTGCAGCGTTTTCCAGCTTCTAATGTGTAGGGGGAGGGGGAGGGGGGTCGGTCGGACCCCCTGCCGTTCGGCCCCTGATCGAGCTAGAGCTTCGCGGAAAAAACGAGTGTGTTGCCCGTGACGAGAGGAAGCCGATGATACCCAATTTTAAGGTCCTACTTCATTGGTTGACCTTCCAGGTCAGGTCAATATTCCAAAAGTCGGGAAAATCGGGACCTGCTAGAACTGCGTAAAGTGAAGCTGTTATCGGGTTTTTCGGGGTGCTGATCACAAATATCTGATGTTAGTTTTGATCACAGATGATTTCTTCATGCATTTAGGCCAGATCGGGTCAGGTCAGGTCAGGTCAACCATTAGGCGTCCTACCGGCTATCCATAGTAGGTGTCAACTACCACTGACGGCGTCGTAGCACGTCACGAAAGCACTAAAACTACTTCGTAAACGTTCAAATGGATGCTAAATTTGAAATCAGCCCTATAAACTACCCTAGAAACATGTGAAACTCGAAAAAGTGAACCGATGTCATCAAAGGTCAATGACCTGACCTGACCTTCAGGTTATCTTCACACCCACCGTGATGCATGGGAAGAACATCATTTCACATGTTTGGACGTCTACAATCACAAAAAGACTGGAAACGCGCGGATAATGTGAGCTGACATACGCCAAATCGCGATTCCTGCCGAACATGGTCTCGAGAATCAGGTCACAGGTCAAAGGTCTTTTGGGCCAGGGTCATGAAATTTTTAGAGTAGGTGTAAAACTGATCAACTCGAGGGTACTAAAAGTTTCGTCGCGATCGGCCGCTTTTTGCGCGAGTTATTTGCGAACAACCATGGGGGGGGGGTTCATCCGACCCCCCTACACATGCGAGGGTCAATTCTTCCAAATGCACTTATCGGTTGGTACCTAAACCTTTTCGACATGGTACACCCTCAAGCTCGTAACGAGCCTTCGCTCGGGTGTCGCCCCCCCCCCCCCCCCGCTTCACCGGCCATGGCTGGATTTCTGCACCCATGCACCCACAATGTTCCAGCCGTTCCTACGCCCATGTGGAGGAGGGTGAGTCGGGTACTCCTCAATCTTACCTTCCGCCCGACGACCGTTTGCCCAGAGTGCTGAACCTTGTCCCTGAATGTCGGGGTTGTAATACACCCATGTCTTCCAAATCAAGAGAAGATGTGCAAGCGATACAGGGCCGTCAGTGCACGCAGCTGGACACGTGAAAAGCGCGGCGTGACCCGTGGCTCGGGTCAGCCGAGGCAGGGATGCTCTAAATGCACCGTCAATGAGGACTGAATGCGGGTCGCATACGGAATGAGTCGAGTTTGCCGACACGACCGCGTCCAAGCGGTGCGCGGTGGGCCAGCTGGTCGGCCGGTACCCAATACCAGTCCGGTGACCTTGTTTAGTTTGTTTGCCAGTCGGAGAGAGAGGTCTTTCTGCCGGACGTATCCTAATGCTGTCCTCTCTGCTTTGCATTTGTCTTTGGGAACGGCGAGCAGCCAATGATAATTCTGTTCTCTACAGAATCAATAAATTCGGTAGACTGTTGGGTACCTCCAAGGGACACAGCTTCCTTTTTACGGGCACTAGCCTAGACTCTGCTCGGTCCCGGGACAGCTGTGCTCCGTTATGTCTTCATTTAGGAGTTACGACCCCGTTTTACCCCATGACCTGTCGTTTTTAGTGCCGCGCTGGTGACCTTGTTCTGGGGACAGGCTAGTCGGACGGTCTGACTGTCCAGCGATCGTTACGTCTGAAAATGACTGGAACAAAACTCGGTGGCCCCTCAAGCTGTCAAATAGTGTGTGAAATACTTGGATTGATGTGAGAGTTGTGTATGGGAATTTCGTGACGGGCTTGGAAGCTTGTAATTCCTGCCGGTCAGAAAACTTACACATCATACAGGTCGTATTCCCTTAGCCTAGCGGCCGTCTGGATATTTAGCTGTGTCGTTATACGAGCTTTTAGACTGGTTTGTTTGGGCTGTGACCTGTCGCTGAGTCGCTAATTTTTGTCTTCCTGTGTCCGTTATACTGACCCAGTTTCTCCTCTCTGTGTTTCCAGGTGTTTATAGGAGCCCGTCGGACAGTCCCTCTGCGCCGCCGCTACCGTCGCCGTCACGGCGAGAGTCGAACGTCGGTCAGGGACAGGTGAGAATGCGCCGACGTCGGAAGCATTGTCACGGATCACGGATCACGGTCACGGACCACATGGTTAGGTGTTATATATCATTGGTCACAGGAGACGTTCATGGATCAAACTCCCGCCCTGGGTCACAAATCACGAATTATAGTCCTGGGTCCTGGGTCACGTGTCACGCTTATGGAACAGAAATCACGGCTCACGAATTATGGATTACGAGTCACGGATCTCTGTTTCGCATGGTTTGGCTCCTCCCAGACGGGTAGAATCCCATGGCGCAGCGCTACGACCGCCCCAAGCCGCTCTGCAGTGACATTTGAGTCGCAGTGGTGCAGTGCGGCGCTAGAGCTGACACTCGGTCAATGTGAGACTACTGCGGGCCGAGGCGGGCGGGGTCGTCCGCGCGGCAGCAGCGGCGGGGTCACTGGCCCCGTGAGCGGCCGGCGAGCGACTCAGAGCCGTCAGTGCCGGCGGGCGACGTCGCCAGAGCTGACGTCGTGTCCAGAGATAGCATCAGACCGACTGGACGCCCAGTGAAGTTATTCAGTCCGCCTGCAACACTGTGCACTGTTCAGCTTCATAATAACAGCGATAAATAGGGTCGCTACCCAAAACAATGTCTTACCTGCTCGCCGGATAGGATTTCAGGAAAAATACTTATCTCCCATAATATTTCCCCTTTTTGTCACCCGCTGTGCTCAACTCCAAGCGACCAACACACTAAACCGGACCAACCCCCTCCCACCTCTCCCGCCCCACCCCCACTCACCCCGCGGTCGGCCTCATGAGATAGCTGCTATTGTCGGTCAGTGAGGGCCTGTCAGACGGGTTGTCCTCCTGGAGTCGTGTCTGGGCACCTGGTGGTGCAGCCGGACCAGCCCGTCAAGGTGCACCGAGGCGCGGGCGGGACACTCGAGCTGGTGATGGTGTCCGCATCGGATCCGATGAGTTTACTGGCGAAGGTGAAATCTGATTCTTATTAAATATGAACATTTTTTAGGCGAAAAGTAGCTATGCTAATTACTCTTTCGGTACGAAATAATGATTTTTCTTTAATTGCGCACTCCCATATTATCGCACATGGGCTGATCTAACCACTCTGCACGTTTAGCAACAACCGGTAATCGACGCTTCCATTCGGGGAACCCTTATAAGCATGACCAATATTTGAACAGCGATATGCGCGGATTACGTAGAACTGCGTCCGGTGACGTTGTCCCTATTGACAATGCATGGTTATCAGCGGATACTCGACTAGACTTTGTCACACTGACGCGGGTTACAGCCGACCCTGGGGCCACCCCATCACCCATGTGTGCTTTCACGGGAGAGCTGGGCCGAAATGAAATCGACCACAAACAGGCGGGCTTCCCCGGCAGTCTTTGGTCGGGTGGCGTTCGTTTAGCTGCGGTTAATCGTGGGTATCGCGTGTCCTGCTGTCCCATTTCAAAATCACAATTAAAGGGACAGTATCACCATTTTGATGAAATTTGACATTGCATAGGCCCCACCTTTCTGGTCCGGGAACTGAAGACCGATCATCGAAGCTCCACACCGTTATCCCACTATCGCCGCTCAAAGTACGAAAGGTGTACCACACTTTGAATCGTGCTTCACTATCTTCACTGTTTAAATGTTTGCGCCGTTTTGAATTGACCGCCAGTAATAAAACTTTTACCCTGGTCATTTCATCAAATTTTATAAAGCCAAAACGTTTTTCGCACTTATTCATCACCGTTAAATTCATTAAATAGTCGTAGGCAATTTCCGCTGTTTCCTTCGGATTCTAGCGGCTCAACAAAGGAATTCCTCTAGCTTGAATCACAATCTCCCTCCAATGTATGACGTTTATCACGTGATTGTCACGTGATATTTTCTCCCATTGTCAATTGTCACGTCCAATTGTCACTCCCTCCAATTGTCACGTAATATTTTTATAGGCAATACTTAAGGCTACCTCTCCCTAAGGACAACTCAATCAGAACTTGAACTTGAACTTGACGGTTTTGAGGAATTGCCTTTGCAACGGCTCCTCCTTTTCTTTTTAAACTTTAACTTAAACTATCGCGCTATGAGTTGGTACGGGGTGCTTAACAAGTATTGAGCTCTTTTTGCCTTTTAGTTCTTAGGGTCCACATGCTGTACAAAATCTGTTTCTTTTCTTCCATATTCCTTCTTTCCTTATCAAATAGAAATCTCATTATAACTTCTTCTTTTTGTCTTCCAAGTATGGCTGTTGTAATTCACGATGCTTCACCCTAACTTCATTTAATATTGGACATTCTAGTAAGAAATGATTAATATCTTCATTTTCCGCTTCACACAAGGCACAGTTCGTTCTTTCTTTTGTAAACTTCTTCCTTGCGTTCAGAGGGAGAGTATCCGTCCTCGCTTGAAAGAGGATTCTTGATTGCGGGGTGTTGTCATAAACATCATCCTCTTTTATCTTCAGCTTCCATCTCTTGTATACCTTCAAACTTGTTTTAGTCTCTACTTCCTCTTTCCATCTTTTATCGTCCCAACTAATCATCTTCTTATTTAGTTCTTCTTTCTTCATGTTTCTAAGGTCGCCTTGGTTTAGATTTAGGGTTTCTAAGTGTGTGATAATCATCCTCGCCCATTTCGTACCCTTTTCTTCCAATTGAGTTTCTATCACTTCCTTCAATAGTTGGTTATTTCCTTGTAGAGTGCTTCTTACATACTGTAGATGTCCTTTGATTACTCTTGTTTTCATCGCCGAAGCTCCAATTTCACCTCGGAGGGCACAGTTGGCTGTGTATTTCGGTGCACCAAGTATCTGCCGATATACTCCGTTTTCTATAACTTCCAGCTTCTTGACCTCTTCTTCTGTTACGTGGAATATATTGACACCATATAATATGGATGGCAGAGCAAGGCTCTTCCAGAAAGTTTTCCCTATCAGCAGTTTGTTGCAGCTTCTTGCGACCACCCCATACGTCATATTTGCCATTCTTTGAGCTTTTTGTATCATCTGCCTTTTCTGCTCTTTGAACATATTCCTCTGATTTCCGATCTTCACACCAAGATACTTCAACTTGTCTGCCGTGGGTATTCCTTCTACTTCCTCCGGCTGTTCTTTACAGTTAAATATCAATACAGCACTTTTGTCTTTGTTTATATCTAGACCACACTTCTTACTCACTTCATTTAAAACTTTTATCAGTAGCTGTGTTTCTTGCAGTGAAGCTGCCAGTATCAATCCATCATCCGCAAAGAACAGTATTGGAATGTAAAACTTCTCGTTTCTGAAACCAAGAGTTGTCTTTTGTATTTCTCTGGTGATTATATATGTGACAATCTTGAATAAGGCTGTGGAGCCGGTACACCCTTGTCGGATTCCGCTTGTCACGTCCAACTTTTCTGTTGTGTCATCATTCAAGCTGATAAGTGTTGAGTCGCCTTGGTAAATATCTGCTACGGCATCGATAACTTTAGGATGAATCTTATATGTCATCAAAGCACTTATCATCTCACTTCTTTTCACTGAATCGAATGCTTTTCTGTAATCGATAGATGTAACATAGAGTGGAGTCTTTCTTTTGTAGCTTTCTTCTACACAATAGTTCAGTATGAAGAGGTTGTCTTCAATCTTTCCCCCTTTCGTGAATCCAGCTTGGGTTTCAATTACAGCATCATTTTCTCTCAAGTGTTCTTCAATTTCATTCTTCATCAGGGTCATGAACATTTTGTACGCTACATTTGTAAGTGCTATGGGCCTTAAATCCTTCGCTGTTGGGCGTGGCACCTTCTTTATCATTCTTGTCTTTGATGTCTTCCAATCACTCATTTTCCTGTTTTCTCCCACTTCTCTCTTCAGACAGCTTGTTAGTATCTTCACTCCATTCCTTGTTTTAAGGAGTGCTTTGTACATCTCTGTTTTCAGTCCATCTGGGCCTGCTGATGTCTTGCCTTTCATGTTTTGCACACATCTCTGAACTTTTTCTTCACTTATGATTGGTTCAGTCATTGGCTCCAGGCCTCTGGTAGCAGTTTGGGCCATCTCTTCATGATCTTGTAGTGGTCTTCTGACATTGCTAGATTGCTCCTCATTCTCTAATGCTCTGATATATTCATTTTTGCTTTCTTCATTCCATATCTGACTTGTATCATTTGCATGCTTTTGGTATACAGTCTTCCAATATCTTATAAGTTCTTCCTTTTCTGCTTCTTTCCCCAGCTTTTGTCCATCTGAGGTGAACAGGTTTGTTTCCTCATTCTTTTTTAAATCCCTTCTCCTTAGGCTATCAATGTTCTTCCATAGAGCTTTGCTTTTGTTTGTGCTGCATTTTATTTCATTGGTTATCTTCTTCTCATGTATACCCATCTGCTCCTTGATCAGGGATTGTACATGTCTTTTCTGTTTCAGATACACTATTTCCAATGCCTCGACTTCTTCCTGAGATTGGGCATTTCGCTTTTTCCTGTTTATTTCTTTTCTTTTCTTGATTTCTTTTTTTTATTTCTTTTGTTATCCATGGAGGTTCTTTCACTTGTACTTGTGAGTTCAGAACTCTCCTTATATATCTGGCTTTTAGCTTGTCTTCTGCAGTATTTTGCATAGTTCTATTTAACATCTCCATTGTTTGCATCTCTTCATCTTGTACCCTTCTGCATACTTCCTCTGCAAACTCTTTCAGTGCCTCTTCATCAGTCTTGTAGTATTCTACTGTCTTTTCTTTCCCCTGGGAGAAATTGAGATTCTTACCATCTGGTAGCCTCATGCTCACAGTGATCATATTGTGATCTGAGAGATCAAACTTTTCTCTGTCTTCATCTATGTTCATTTCTTCAAACCATTTGTAACATTTATCATTTACTATTACAAAATCAATCACACTTTGCTGTTCTTTTCTCTGCCATGTTATCTGTCCCTTGCATCTTTCATCCATGTTTAGTAAAATTAGTGCATGATCATTCATCCATTCAAGAACTGTTTTTCCATTGTCATCTTCTTTTTGCTTTCCCAGTCCACTAATGTGTCCGTTGAAGTCACCTAGTATCATAAGTGCTTCCTGCTCTTCTCTGGTTTTCATAATTATTTTCTCCACTTCCTTTTTCATTCTGTCATTTCGTACTTTATCTTCGTGTTTGCTAACAACAGAGAAATAAACTATCACTATATACATTGTTTCTCTAGCTATATCCACCTTTGCACAGAGAATATCACTGCTTGTAGTTTGTACCTTCGTTACATTGAAGAGATCTTTGGATTTGTACATAAGGAGCAAACCGCCTCCTTTCTTGTCTTTCATGTCTCGCATACTATCAACTTTATTTATGCCCTTTGATAATTGGACTTTTTCATATTTTTGTTGAGTTTCCGTAAGGCATATGAAATCACAGTCTGTTTGTAGGAGCTGTTCTAGCTCTATCACCTTTGGTTTTGTTAAACCTTGCACATTGACTAAATTTATAATGATCCTTTTCACATCTCTATCTTCTTACTCTTTTGATCTATCTGTTTTTTTTTATCTATCAGAAGAACGACCGCGTAAGCGTAGCGTCAATAATGTATTATCTGCGCCAGTTCTGTAGTAATTTTGCATGCTTCCAAACTGGCGGCCATGCTTGTATAGTGGTGGTTCGCTCATGAAAATGAATCATGAAAATGAAATGTGGTTGCAATATTTTTCACCGAGTTCGGTCCTCAAACTATGTTTTTCTGATTTAGAAAAATAAGAAATGCTAGTAAAAAAAAATCAGCTCCATACATGGATTTTTTTTCGATGATACTGTCCCTTTAAGTTACCTGGAAGATGCAACTTGCCTATGCGATACAGATTCATTGGAATTTGTTGTTTTAAATATGTCTGAACGTTCAGTCTTCAACTACCATGGTTTAGCTTCGTTTACTTTAACTTAAATATTATCGTATCTTTCAAGGATGAACGTTGAATGCTGGCACGGCACATGTCGCGCGCCGAGTCGCCAACCACTGTGGTATCTCGGGCTTTTCCGATTTTCGTCACTAGATGTCACTACGAACAAACGCCTGGATGTATGCTGTACCGCAAGACGCTCGATTACCTTGTGCGCTTGTATTGATGATATAGGATATTGATTGCGGTACATGAAACCTTGAAAAGTGCTTACTAAAGACTAGAGAAAAGAACTCGAGTAGAAATAATGTGTGACTGCGTGATTTTACGGGTAAAGTGCTGGGCTTGAGGTTATTTAAATCTACAGAAAGCGTTTCTATTCAGTTCATAAATGGCTTCGTTGATAACCCATTTTAGGGAATATCCGAGAGTTTTGTGGCTTAGCATGTTGATTGTTAATGGAATGAAATATCAGAATGTTATTTGTTTTTTATCATAGGCGAAAGCTCATTCCCAGTATAAACGCCAGATGGTAATCATTAGACTGTCAACGTTTCTATGCATAAAATAGGCACATATGTGCTACCAGCTGCGTTCCAGTGGACCTTTCATCGGCCTATTTCGCTTCTTGCGCGGCAACTTCAGTGAAAGGAGGGATTATCTTTTAGCTTTGAGCAGAGGATTGTGACATTGATTTGCATATTGGTTCGGTCTAAAAGTGAGCGGTGTTAAATCCATAGGTCAGTAAGTACGTAACCTTGAGTGTAACAAAAGGTGTGCTATTTTAATATTATTTCGCTGCATAAATGGGCTCGTGTTCCAAATGACTGTAGCGAAATATACCATTTTCTAAGGTTATCAGTTATTAAGTTCACGGCAGCATCCGTTTTTAGTTTTGTGATTGAGCTTTGCTACTCAGGAAAGTCAGGACTGGGGCCCGGCACGTGCCTCCCCTTCCCCCACACACAAACATCCACCTTTATCACTATTCGTCCCCCAGTGAGACCTTCTCACCCATTCCGTGCACGACCCAGTGCACTCCGGCCGATCACCGTCGAGTGCCTGAGTGCACAGCGCACGGCGCACGCACAGTCAAACCGTGCACAGTACAGTTAGACCGGTACCTAGTTATAAAACCGGCCGGCACGGCGGCGACCTAGCCGCGCAGCTTCCGGCTTACCCACGCGCGGCGGTGCGTCGTTTGATCTCTCCGGGTAGGGGCGTCACTCCGGGGGGAGGGGGAGTGTGCTCAGAGCTGAGTTTGCAGTCAGAAGAGTGCTGATCTGAGGGGTGAGTCACTGAATCGACCGCCTCGGGTCGCAGCAGAGAGGCTCCGGTTCTGGGCCCCTGCCTTTGTGGCGGCCGCAAATCTGTGACTTCCCGACCACTCCTGAAGCTTAGCTCTGCTTAGTGATGTGGCTAAACCGACTATTGTTTTGTGAGAATAAAATTAATCACTGGACTGCTCTGAGGAGGCTTGAAAGTAGAAGTGAACTGTTGGTAATGTTTCTACTTGCCTCCGGCGCGAAACCAGCTTCATAACATTTTCCCAGTGCATTTACTTCATACATTGTGAAGTGCATTCTCACATATCTTTGCCTCTTATCACCTGTAACAAAGGTCGGACTAATCACATTGGTCACATTGTTGTTGGGCCCAAATGAATTGTTCTGCCTCACCAGCCGTGAAATGGCGGCTGCTCCGATGATTGCCTCACTGTCGGCACGCATGTTTCGTAATAAATGCCTCGGCCACGCCCTCTCCCTGCTGACCTGATTACCCTTTCTCCTTCCCCTCGTACCTATGAGTCGTGCGCGTCAGTAATAACTCCCGATGACGTCACTGTAGTGCCCAGGCGATGACGTCACTGTACGTTATGTTTGCAGTCGGAGAGTCAGAGGATCAGCACGTACAGGCGGGTGGTGAAGAACGTGCTGGACTCGGAAACCATGTACGTCGAGTGCCTCAACGTCACAACGCAGGTAAGACCTCAACATATCCCTCAGAGCTGGGTCTGGATAAAAAAGGTCAGTATTTGATGTTGCGAAGTACCTTTGCACTGTACCAAGGCGTAATATGGGGCGTTCCACGACAAATCGACAAGTGCCCTGCACCCTCATATTTTATTTTTTGCTTAAAATTGGTCTAATGGGTTGTGATGGGCGGGGAAGCCAGCTGTGGCAAGGATTTTTGTCTTCGAACAACGGTTTCCGAGATATAGCCTCGGGCAATTCTTGGAGTTTGCGCTGCAGCCCTATGTTTGGCGGCCTATAACTCAGAAACTATTAGTTTTTTCATGATAAAACTTCATGTGGCTCAGCTCACAATCAACCAACAAACATTTTGGCTATCTCGGATTTTCAATTTTTGAAAATTTTGATCACGTGACCTTTTGTCCTATTTTTCAAAGAGTGACCTTGATATTTTCCCCACTGAAAGTTGCAATTTTGTCTGATGACGATTAAAGCCTTATCAATTGTCATTCATATGCGATAATAAAAAAAGTGGTTATCGCCCTGCGTTGACCTCAGGTCAGGTCATTTTTATGACCTGTCCATTATTACGAGCGGGAGCGACAGCAAGATCTCGAGAATAAAGCAAGATAGCGACAAGCGGTAAACGGTAAAGGGTACACACGGATAAGGTCTATAACTTTTACTGAGGTCATTTTCAGGTCAGGTCAAAGATGACGTCACAGGAGCTATAAGGAAGTCAAAATAGCGGCACTATACATATATATGAAGCTTTTCTCGAGTAACTTTCAAGGTATCCCAGCTAGGAACAAACTAATAGCACCATCGTGATCCTCTCGTCGATCCGCATCGAAACATATGTATGTTGACCACGAAAGGTCGAAAGGTCAAAAGTTGACCCTAGGTCACGTGATCTAAGGTCAACTTTTGACCTTTCGACCTTTTGAGGTCAACATACATATGTTTCGATGCGGATCGACGAGAGGATCACGATGGTGCTATTAGTTTGTTCCTAGCTGGGATACCTGGAAAGTTATTCGAGAAAAACTTCATATATATGTATAGTGCCGCTATTTTGACTTCCTTTTAGCTCCTGTGACGTCATCTTTGACCTGACCTGAAAATGACCTCAGTAAAAATTATAGACCTTATCCGTGTGTACCCTTTACCGTTTACCGCTTGTCGCTATCTTGCTTTATTCTCGAGATCTCGCTGTCGCTCCAGCTCGTAATAATGGACAGGTCATAAAAATGACCTGACCTGAGGTCAATGCAGGGCGATAACCACTTTTTTTATTATCGCATATGAATGACAATCGATAAGGCTTTAATCGTCATCAGACAAAATTGCAACATTCAGTGGGGAAAATATCAAGGTCACTCTTCGAAAAATAGGACAAAAGGTCACGTGATCAACATTTTCAAAAATTGAAAATCCGAGATAGCCAAAATGTTTGTTGGTTGATTGTGAGTTGAACCATATAAAGTTTTTATCGTAAAAAACCAATAGTTTCTGAGTTATAGGCCGCCAAACATAGGGCTGCAGCGCGAACTCCAGGAATTGCCCGAGGCTATATCTCGGAAACTGTTGTTCGAAGAAAAAAATCCTTGCCACAGCTGGCTTCCCCGCCCATCACAACCCCTTACACCAGTTTTCAACGAATAATAAAATATGAGGGTGCAAATTTAATTTTTTATTTGTCGATTTGTCGTGGAACGCCCCATATGCGGGTATGTTTACTATGTCAAATAGTTTGTGCAAATTTAACGGTATTAGTTTTTTTAAATACTTTACATGATACATAGTATAGTTATAAAATTGGTAATAATATAATACTTGATTATAATAGTTTCATATTTTTTTGTCATATACTTGCTATAAATGGTCTCACAATCGATTCGAAGTACCAGTACTTGCCGCTTATACCCTGATATTTGAAGACAAACGTCATATTCGAAGGTGCCCAATGACCATTGCCCATTGCCCATTGCCGATGTCAATGTGATTCCCAGGCCATGAACACTTTCCCTTGCAATGTCGCACTCGCCGGCGTCATATGATCGTTGCGTGCAGATTACCTCGACACCGTTACGCCGTAGATTGGTCGGTGATATCATAATGACTTCCCATTCTGCTGTGATTACGTCCTAAGATATCCGCTTTTTTATCGGTTACGATGCAAGCAGGGCAGCGTTTTTCACTCCGGATCCTCAATTCAGACTTGATTTTTCCTGGTCGATCTCAAAGTGTGTTATTGTGTCTAGCCTTCCCATTACCGACATATCCGCGTAATTTTCAGTGTTTTGTTTTATCATAACCTTCAGCACTAAGCAGTTAATCCAACTGATGGGCGACATGCTGGGATTACCGTTCTGACCCTTAACCGTGTCCTGTCCGCAGTATATGAAGGTGCTGAATGCGACGATTGGCACATCGCGGCCGGTCATATCCCAGGACGACTTCAACTCCATCTTCTTCAAGATCCCCGAGCTGTACAAACTCCATTCGGACTTCCTGGATGGTCTCAGGGCGGCCACGACCAACTGGGACGGATACGCACCCATTGGACCACGGTTCAAACAACTGGTAAATATCGTAACGGAGAGATCAGGACGGTCCATGTGGGTAAACGGCGGGTTGCGTGATGCGGCTGTACTAAATACCAGTTAGTATTCTTGAAAGGAGAGCGATTGCAATGCATTGTGTGTGATACTTGAACGGGAGAAAGAAAGAGAAGAGAAGGGACAGAGAAAGTCGATTATTCCGAAGGACAGAAAGTGAGATACGATTATGGAAAATGGAAAGAGACAGGAGAGGAGAGGCGATTATTCCGGACTATGAGTTATTGTCGGCTTCTGCCTTTGGTTCCCTATTTAAGCCGTTCGAGTGTCATCCACGTCACTATCCGGCTCTCAGCTGGGATCGGGCGCCGCCCACTGGGCCTCGGCCTCCTCTGTAGTCGAGTGGAGACCTCTCATCACCACCCCAGACTGACGGAGAAGACTCTTTAGATCAAAGACCGTCTGTGAGCGAAGGATGGCCTTCAGTCACCGGTGGGCAGCTCTCGGCGCAGATTAAAGCCGCCCCTGAGCTTCACTGAGGAACGGATTAGAGCCGCGGCAGCTGTGTACACATCACAGCCCTGGGAAAGGAAAGGCTGTGGTGGATGAACATTCAACTCGCGGTTGGAACTGCAAGACTTGCATTTGAGAAAAAACTGTCAGCCTGATGGTCGCCTTTAATCGCCGATGGCACAATGGCGTCTGATGTTTGCTGGCGAAAATGCGGTTTGTTGTCGTGGTGATCACATCATGCTGCGACTGAGGTCCATTTGTGGAATTTAGGTTAGCTGGCATTAGTAAATGACATTCCCTTTCACATTTTGCGACAAGGTCAATTCGGAAATGTTTCGCATTTGAACGACAAAGCCATTCGGAACTCGTTCCTACGATCTAGTCCATCGTGTTCTTGGCTTTTGGTGGATTCGAGCACGTGCCACTCCCGCGCTGCCTTTTCCACAAAGGAGCACTTCTCTGTTTCCGCTCTCCTCATCTTTCTCCCGCTGAACCGAGAAATAACTTACCGACGCCGTCGACCTCGTCCATTTCTGCGTACTCGTGTCGGCTACGAACGGCCGATGTCGACCTAGCCCGAGCAGCTCAGACCATCACAGTGCCTCGACTCAGCATAGCCACTGCCCATCTCTGGCCTCGGTAGCTCGGCATGGTGAAGGACCGGTTTATCGTGCCGCCCTGTCGACCATTGGTGGCGGCGGCGGCGGCGGCGCGTGCGGGGCTGGGGTAACGAACGCGACGAGCCGCCTCGGGATCGATCTCTCCTTGTCCGCGCGCTGCGATGGAGCTGTTTGTCCCCCAGCCGAGGACAAGGGACGCTGGCCCAGTCGGATGCGTGGTGTTTGAATTGACCGCTGGGTTGAGAAATTAGAGGATACTGTGAAGAGATAAATTTCTTCAGCTGGGTTTGTTTTGGTCTGTTTGGATTTTGATATAATGGTATCAGTTGCACACACGTGTGTACTTGTTCAATTAATTGCACGGTGATCGTGGTGTGCAAACCCACCCCTCTGTGAGCATTGCAGGCTTTGTAGATCGTTCGGTTCCATATTGCCCTCCCGGACCGGCCGAGGAGAACCTCCACTGCGCTGGCGTCCGTCCAGGCCGGTCCGAGTGACCCCCTCCCGAGCCGCGCGTGCCGTCCGGTGTGGCAAAAACGGCCGGCGACACAGCGGGGGTGCGCTGGACCGCCCGCGGCGGGGGTGTGCCGAGGACTGTGTGAACGGGCCTCTGAGCGCTTTACCCCGAACCGGAGACAGGGTGAACCATCAGTGCATGGCTGGCCCTGAGGAGCGCTGCTGCGGTTTGCGCTGATTGTCAAGACGTGACTGGCATCTGAGCGACCACGAGCATGGTGCTTCAGCGAGTAACGACCCCACCATGAGCTGACTGCTAGCTGCTCGTGGAGGCCACTGTCGAGCCGCGCCGCTTGGTATTTGAGTTTAGATCGTAGTCCTTTACCGACGACTGGGTGGGCAATCAGCATATCGTCAATCGTGTGGACTTTGGTGTTGATTGCAATCTACTCACCGTAACTCAACCACTTCGACAAACCAGTCGCGGCATTCAACGCCCAAGCAATCACCGGTCAGTGATAAATGCGCATTGCGATGGACGAACATATATGTGACGGCTTGATTTGTTTATCTAGCCCCGTGTTGTCATTTCACGGCGTCTGTCACTCGGCACATCTCTCTGCACACTGGACCGTAGTTGTTTCGCAGTGTCCCCGCGGGGCGGCGCTGGCGGCTGCTTTTGATCTGGATGCGCGAAATGCCACAAAGCTGCGCTATGACAAATCGTATAGCGCCCGTTATAAACAGAGGGCGACGGGTCGTGCCGTGTGAAGGCACCGCAGCGGCCGTCTTTAGTGTCGGCGGTGCAATCTTTCCGAGAGGAGCGTTTGTGACCGCGGCACTGGTCGAAGGGGTGTTCGTGCCGCGAGTATGGCACGCTGGTGTAAACGGCCTGGTTAGCAGTCCTATACTCATATCTAGATCCATCTTAGGGATTGGAGGTCAGTCGTAACCCCAACCGCTTAATAACGGAAGTGGTGCTTACAAGATGAGACGCAATTGGAGGCAAGTACTGAAAGTATCCAGGCTAAGAGAGGAAGAAGCGGTTCCCAGGTCGAGGAAGGTCATGCGCTTGTGTTTTCGGCTGCTGGATAACTGTATGGACAAGAATGTGGTTCAGTTAGTTGGTCATATCAGTCCATCGCAACTGTATACTTTGCTCTTGGCTACACTGCGTAGTGCGTACAGCCGCCACGAATTCCTGTCTGGCATTGTCTTCCCGGGAACAATTAGATTGTTCACGGTAGCCGCAGCAATGCGTGTAAAAACTGTCCGGTGTACAGCGGGGCGGTCCAGGGGCAGGGGACCAGTGGCCATCGCTCCTCCAACTCACCCTCTGAGAACAATGGCTGCCTGACACTGAGAGGACGCTAACGACTGGTGTCGGGTACCTGGGGGCCGGCGGCCGCGCGAGCCACCCCGGTGGTCACTGAGTCACCGCTGAGTCACCGAGTCACTGGCCGGGAGTCACTGGATCCGTGAGTCACCGGCCGCTGTAGGACCGGGCCGAGTCGCCGGTCTGGCGAGGGTGACCAGAGTGGCGTGACGGTCGGGTGCAGGGACCGTGTCGCCGTGGGCACTCGGGGCCCGCGTCGCGCGGCTCAGGGGTCCGGTCGTGCTTCACTGAGTGTGTCGCCTGGCCGTGACGGTAAACGGACATGGAACAGTGAGGCGTGAGCTACAGGAAGGGGGGGGCTGACTGACATGGACTGTCACAGTCTACTGATGTGGTTAACAGTCACGGTATGCCGATATACAACTGTGACAGAGTGTGTTGTGTTTGGTTATGAAAATGCAGATTTTTCTAGTTTTCTCTTCCAAGTGTGCCGAGTGGAGTAGGTATATTCACGGCGCTGCTTGTGCATTGCTTCTGTTCTCTGCGAGTATGGCGCATGGTTGGCAATCTCTTTTCACTCGTATGTTCTTGTACTCTCATGTCCCATTTTCTCAAAACAGTGCACACCTACAACCCACCAACTCTTCTGACCCCACCGTCTCCCTTTCAGGCGGAGAACATGGGTGTGTACGGCGCCTACCTCCAAAACTACCAGCACGCACTGGAGACGGTGCGCCGGTGTTCGGCCAACAGTGCCGAGTTTGCCGAGATCACGCGCTGCATCAAACTGCGCTCGCTGCAGGGACAGACGCCCTCGCTCGAGGAGCTGTTGCACAAACCAGTGGCGCGCGTACAGCAGAATGCGCCCGTGCTACATGTGAGTAGGGAGACTGTGGGGTGCCTACATCCTGGTGTTTTAGATGTAAAGTTGATGATTTGTTGTTAGAGTTTGCTACGATTTGTGAGTGTAAATGCTTAAAAGCTGAGACTGGTTTTTGGTTCTAGTAAGGGTTAAAATACAGCAAGGCCTATAGGTTGCAATTGCTGATAGTACCGATTCACTGCCCTTATCTTCCGCATTACCTAGATCTTTTTGAATTGACCTCAAACTGCTATGACATTACACATTCACTGTAGTATTTCTGATTGCACTGGTGTGATAACTGAAGCGGAACTGATGGTCGGCATTGCAGGCACTTTCCGCCGAGTAAGGAAGCCCCGACTGCTATCACTAATGTCCTGCCGGTTGAGAGGCCTCCTGCTCAGGATGATAAACTGCCTCACGGTACCCGACTTTTGAGTGCTATCGTATCATTATAGTGGGTCTGAGTCGTGCGGAGCGCTCGTTAAGAGCCGTCACCGGCGGCACGACGGGAGATCAGGGCATGGTTCGGCTGCAGCGCGGCGTTATTAATGTCTCCGTGGCCTTGTGTCGTTGCAGGATTTGCTCAAATACCTGCCGCCCAGCCATCCGGACCACCGCACCATGGGGCTGGCGCACGCGCTCACTATGACTCAGTCGTTCATCAGCAAGTACAACGTGGCCGCCTCCAACCAGCCGGTGAGCCGGGAGATCTTCTCACTTTTTCCATAATCCATATATCGTCTGTTCCCTCCAGCTCACCAATCCGCGACGGTGCTGACCGCTGTCGCCCTGCTTAATGCTGTATCAACTCCCCGTTTTCTTACATTCCCACTTCTTTTGAGAACTGTCCTGAGATGCAATAGAAGTCTGAGGGTGCTCGAGGTCGTTTTAGTGGTATGGTTGGCAGTCAGGCCTCTTCTGAGTATCCTAGTCCACCTTGCTAACTCTTTCGGTCTCCTACCACGTCATATGTCGGTCACGTACCTGAGTGAGGTACCGTATGTTGACCGGACGTGCCTGCTGCCGTCCGTCAACACAACTACTGAGTGACAGCTCGTGTCAGCTCGTGTCAGCTTTTGTAGTTGCCCTGTGTGGGTCTGTGCAGCCCGGTGGCTTGTGTCAGCCCGTGTCCCTCCGTAGCCGAGCTATAGTGACTATAGTTCCTAGTCCGATAGTGAGCTATGTCGGACTAGGAATCCGCTATGTGCTGATTTCTGTTGTTTCCCGACCTGCCCACCACCTAATGAAGCCTCTGTAATGCCTCAGCGCGTCTCTGCGCTGACACCCGCACTAATACTTCCCCCTCCCTCCCCTCCCTCCGCGGGCGAGGTCGGACTAGCGGTCAGGAGGGAGAACCGAGAGGAGCCCGCAGTGTGACCGACCGCTCTGTGTCGTTTCAGCGTGCTGACAGGATGCAGCGACACGTGGTCAAAAACTCCTTCATCGTCGAGCTGGTGGATAATCACAGGAAGCTGCGACACCTGTTTCTGTTCAATGATGTCATAGTGTGCGCGAAGTATAAGGTGAGTCATACGCGGTAATAGTGGCTTATCGGTAGGTTTGATGATAATGCGTCAACAGAGTGGAATGTGGATAGCCAACGTTCATGGTTTAGGTGCTATTCGCTAGTCACATATCTGTAGTTGCTTTTGAGATTTTTTTCATGAATGAGCTCCGGTTTTTTTTTTTGCAAAGACACAACCTATAACACAATCAGTACCACTACCCAACCCTGTCAGTTACTACTTCTGTTCATCTAAACTGTGATCGCAAGCATGCACTGAACGCAATGCGACACACTGCTCTACAGTACTGTTCTTAGACTCACCCGCATAGCTTTAGAGTTTTACCCTCACTTCTCATCCCCTATCCCTTCCAGGCGTCGGGCCGGGGCGACAAATTCACATTCGAAGTCAAGTGGCTGATCCCGCTGGCGGAAATAGTGTGCAGCTGTGACGACCTTCCGGCCGACCCGCGCGCCGACCCGGCCGGCAACTCCAGCCTTGTGACGCTGAAGTCACAGGCCAGCACCGTGAGGGACCAGATCCGGGCACAGGAGCGCTACTACGGCCTCCAGGGGGTGAGTGAGCGGGCGTGCTGACCGGGCGGTGGGGAAAGACGAGCCTGGGCTGGTACTGTGACACGTGAGCAGCGTGTACCACTATGCAAAAGCGTGTACCGGCGAGTGCAAGCGTGTACCAGCTGGCGCAGAAGGTGTAGTGGGTAGTGCAACTGAATTGTGATCTTAGAATGGTTATAGTTAGGTCAATGCATGTGGTAAGATCAAGGATACGGCTGGTCCTTATCAAATGAGATTGCTATGCTTGTAATGCGTATGTGGCGATTCCTGTAAGACCGTAGACTGATGAATCACGGGTGTATTTATAGCTCTTCGTGTGATCCGTATATGTTGTGGTGCAGCTTGTCGAAAGTCACCTCCTCCCTGACCCTGATTGGCGGCGAATTTCATGAGCTGAGTCACGTGTTGTGTCGCACCAAACTGGTTTGCGGAGACAGTGCTGCCTCGCGTGACTGTTCAAGGTTCGACTTTACATACGGTCATCGTCTGCAAGTCAACAGCATGTTATCTGAGAACCATTTGCCTATCGAGCATCGGCTGCCCGCCAATGTAGGTCGTAAAGCTGCATTTGCAAATAGGTTATCGGATAGCAGCATTGCAGTATTTTTCACAGACTTCAGACTAGTTTGCTGGCCTGTTGGCGCTGATCTCACGATGCAAAATGAAACCAGTTCACGTATAGATGAGTGCACTAAGAGGACACTTTTATCGGAAATGTACTTAGTCTGAAATCTTAGTCATCGTCTTTCTGATGTGGTCCACTCCTTGTAACGGTTTGTGGCTAGAGAAGCATATGTCTGTAGCGGTTCACATTCAGCCTGGATAGATGATGTTGCGCTGTGCAGTCCATTCATAATGTGAGACCGGCATTAGACCAATGGCATTTCCTGGCCATCCAGTTCCGATTTTAATTATCATGTCTTTCGGCTCACTCATGGGATCAGAGCGCAGCGTTGCTATGCATGAAATGCGTTTGAATGTATCTGAATGTGTCTCTAACCACGCCCCGCTCATGATGTTTATTAGATAACTGTGGGAAGAACTGAATGTTGTCAGTTCTTGGCAGTAACAATTTCTTAGGAAAAGAGTTGTCCTTCTACATTACTGTTTGGTATCTCTGCCGCACTCTCAGCTGCTGCTGAAGCTGAGTCACCTACTTCTTCTCCACCTCGGTTCATTCAGTTGACAAGAATCATTTCCTTGACACTCCACCCTCTGATCTCGGTTCCCTCAGAAGCGGTCCGACCAGAAGACGGAGAAGCAGCGGAAGAAGCTGGCAGAGCTGGAGTCGCAGCTGGTGACGGCCTCGCCGAACCTGCCGTTCCGCGTCTACAGCAGGAACGGCAAGCAGAACGCGCTCTTCTTCCTCTCCTCGGACTTTGACCGCACCCAGTGGCAGGAGGCCATCCACGTCCTGCAGGTATGGAATAGGGAGAGAGGGAGAAAGAGAGAGAGAGAGAGAGAGAGAGAGAGAGAGAGAGAGAGAGAGAGAGAGAGAGAGGGAGGGAGGGAAGGGAGCCACGCTCTCTAGAGTACCAACTTGAACCGTGTGGACTCACTGACACGAAGCTTTGGGCACTAGCACAAAAGCTCTGCTTGTTCACCGTTGTAGTTACTCGAAGGCTGTCATAACCCAGTGGCCGCCATTTTTTACTGACATTTACGGATCCAGCTACCGTTGTGCCATTCGATCTATTGGTCAAAAACGGTAATAGTCTCGCTCAGTTTTGTGTCTGTGCGGCGGTGCTAGGTCTGGCCTCGGTATAATGTCTGACACTGAGTGTCCCTAATTGGCCGCCGTAAATACTTGGTGGGGCCCCGCGGCGGGTTTCTATTCTCGGTGTGGCCATCGTTACCTGGAATTAATGGTCCGAGCTGTGAGAGAGCCGAGTGGTCGACTCGTTAGCAGGTGTGGTGTTAAGGGAGAGGCGACGATGGTTGGGGGCGAGGGGAGTGTTTTGCTGGTGCGGTGGGGTTAATGAGGTAGATGCGGTTGTCTGTCTCGGCTAATGATGTTTGTCCTTGTAATGTAAATGAGAATTACCTTTCAGAATCGAGACCATTTATTGTCATTTTGCTCCCCTGTTGTATGTTATATAATACTGTTTATGTATTTATAACGTCATATTCTCCCCAAAAAATGTCCCAAATTACCACCGTTACACACTCCGCCGTTATGCTGTCCCCCTTATGACGTCACGGCCTCCCACCTCTGACGTCACGCGGTATCTCCGTTCACAGACGAACACTCCGCCGAGTCTGCAGGCGCAGCCAGTGTCGTTTGACGAGGTTCAGTCGTGGATCACGACATGCAGGAAGGACCTGCAGACCAACATGGGCTCGTACCTGATGCGAACCGGGAGGGATGAATCCCTTCTGGTGGGCGATCTGCACATCAAGGTGCAGCAGCTGAGCGGGCTCGCGGAGGAGGCAGGTCAGTGATCTGGGAGGACTGGTCAGGTGCGGTAGACGAAGAAATCGGTGAAAGTCGGGTCCGATCACCCTGATAACATGGTAATATTGACTGTTAAGTCAGGTAACTAGTAGCGGCAGCGCGCTGAGTTGATGGTGTTAGTTGGGCTGCAAACGCATATATTGTGACCCTTTTAAAGGGACCCTCCCACCTTCAAAAAAGTTTAGGAATTGGCATGAAAGTGATGTCGCTCGGTTCAGAAAGAGCGAAAACGAATATCTACCAAATTTCACCGAAAAATATTCACCGGTTTTCAAGATATTAGACTTTTACTTTTGTTTACTTTTTTGGGATCTCCGCTGTTTCTAGCGACTTTATTTTAGAAGTGCGGCGTTTGCGGCAGATGTTGCGCGCAAATAGCATATACCACCGCGTGCTACAAAACGTTTTAGTCAAACATTTAAAAATCGCTAGATATTTCCGCTGACGTCACACATTCAGAGGGGTATTCCTAAGCATTAGCCCCTCTGAATCAAAATGCTGCAATTTTGAAGTTCAATATTTCCGATTTAAGGCATTTCTCGATGTTGTGAGTGCCGAAACCGGTAATTGTGAGCCAGGGACCCCATTTTGGCTATCTCAACTCAAATCTAATGTTAAGGTGGGAGGGTCCCTTTAATACTCGCGGCTCGTATGAGGTGGACGTATATAAAAATGGTAGCGCGGTCGAGCTCACTTCCAGGCTAGGTATACTATCTAACCGTGCAAATAGCGATTGTCACGGTATTATAACTGAACACCTCCGGTTTAACTACAACACTAACAAATGCTGCAACGGAAATCATTGTTTCATTGTTCTGAAAATCCGGACATTCTTCTCTTAACCTTGACTGGGCATTGTGCACAATCGCTTCCATTCACGTATTCTGAGCACGGTTTTGCCGGAACAAGTGCGCCTTTAAAAATATCACTGATGTTCGCTGTGATGTCATGTTATGCAAACGACCATTATGCATTCACGCGAACACGTTTTCGACAAACGATACCATTGTTATGGTATCCATCACGTCATGATTGTCACCAAATATGTATCATAATACAAGCCCACCGCACGCTCCCTGCTACTCGGCTTAGCTCATCCCATAACTTTCCTGCTCCGCCTTTTTTCAGATATGTTCATCTGCTTCGAGATCGACTCGTACGGCCACTTCTTCCGCAAGGCCAAGACGAAGCCGATGCGCGGCATAGCACCGCAGTGGAACGAGGACTTTATTCTGGAGCTGGATGGATCTCACAGCCTGCGGATTCTCTGCTACGAAAACTGCCCGAGGGACGGACCCGTTCTGCGAGGGAGATCCCGAACAGAGGTGAGAGGGAGAGAGAGGGAGAGAGGGAGGGAGGGAAGGAGAGAGAGAGAGAGAGAGAGAGAGAGAGAGAGAGAGAGAGAGAGAGAGAGAGAGAGAGAGAGAGAGAGAGAGAGAGAGAGAGAGAGAGAGAGAGAGAGAGAGAGTCGTGCCGTGACCTCGAGTTAGCTCGAGTTACATTGCGTGGATTTGTAATGTCCTCTGCATGCTGTGCTTATCACCGACCCGTGTCAATTTGTCTCTCCAGGCTTTCTCACTTCGATTCCCACCTCTGACGACTATTCTTTACATCCGCAGCTGAGCCGGACCTGGCTGACGACCAGTATGCAGGAGCGGACCATCAGTCTGGAGGGCCTCAGCCTCACCGTCTCCGTCAAATACGCCTCCTACGAGATGACCAAGCGGCGGCCGCCGGCTGGGAAGAGCAACCGGCTCTTCGGCAGCAAAATCCAGGACGTGTGCAGGTGAGACGCTTCATCCCTCTGCGGCTCGTCACCTCAGGCGTGCTTTTCTTTAGTGTTGCTATTCACACGTGTAGGGTATGTATGCTTTATTGGAGCACGTTAATCAACTTCCATTCGATCTTGTGTATATTCTTTGACCTGTGGTAGGATGATACCTATCCCTCAAGACTCCGTCCAGCTCCACTTCACCGTGTCACCTAACCCCTCACCACAGACGAGGGGCCGCTCGGTGTGGCTCTGTACTCTCTACCCTCCCTGTAACTCTCTCACCCCTCGCCCGCAGACGGGAGGACCGCTCTGTGCCGTTCATCATCACCAGCTGTCTGCGGGAGGTGGAGCGGCGCGGCACCAACGAAACGGGCGTCTATCGGGTCTCCGGGTCGGCCACCGACATCAACCGGCTCAAAAAGCTGTATGAGACCAGTGAGTGTCCACTGCGGCTAGTGATGAATCAGGTGACTCATTGACATTTCAAGAGATCAGCTGTGTCTGCCTTCATTACTTCAGAACACAGACTGCTACAAGCGTGATGTATCCCGATAAAAAGCCTGAGATTGAACGAAACACTTTTTTCTTGTAGGTATTCTTGTCGAATACGGATCAAATACATGTATTCTCAAAAAGCAGCTTTCACGATCACGTTCCTTGTAATTATACGTGTTTCACGCTATGTATGTACCTTGAAGGTCCCTAACGTTTCTTCTGTTTGTGTCCTGCAGACATCTACGAGGCCGAGCAGCTGATCAAAGAGGTGGACATCCACTCGGTGACCGGACTGCTGAAGCTCTACCTGCGCGAGCTCCCAGAGGCGCTCTTCACCGACGGGCTCTACGGCATGTTTTTCGACGCGTTCAGCAGCCCGGACCTGCCTCTGCGCCGGCGGCGGCTGCTGCAGCTGTTCTCGCAGCTGCCGCAGCTTAACCAGAGCATCATTGTCTACCTGATTGAGCACCTCATCAAGTGAGTGCGGAAAAGACAGCCTTTGTTTGGGGTGGAGATTGGAGTGAATGAAACGGTTTCAACCCTATGGACATAACGTCGAGATGTTTTGTAGAATGATGTATGTAATGAGGTAAATTTTTAGGAGAGGGATGAAGCCCTGTCTCGCTAACCTTTCCGTGTTATGAGGCTTGAGAGTGAGGAGTCCTCACTCTCAAGCCTCATAACTAAACTCCTCTCAGACCAGGTTAACACGCTTCCCTTTCGTCGCCCACACTCTGATTATCCCCCCCCCCTCCCCTCTCCTCCCTGGTCCCATGACCGCCACTATCGGCGACTGGCTCGTTATCGCAGTCGGACTGGCGCCAGCACCGGCGCCGCCGGACGGAACACAACAGCCCTGACCTTGGCCGTCGGCGCTGCGTCCGGCGAGTGAAATCGCCGGAACAAACTCCCGGCCCCCTTCGTGTGGGCCGTGGGAGCGGGGTAGTGTTGCGAGCAGTATCAATGGGGTGCGGTGTGGGAGCGATTGGCTGGGACCTGCTATTGAATGCGGAGTGCACACCACACACTGCACATTTTTGGCAAAAAGCGAAAAGGAGCCATTTAGTCGTTCATTAGGGGAGAAGGGAGCTGGTTATGTCTGAGTCAGCTCCCTGGAGCGGTTACATAGCATGGTTTATACTGAAAGCTAGCGAAGCGAGGTGGCATATCGACTTTTGTCATTTTTTTCCAAACATTGCCAGCTCGTTTGTCCCCTATCTTTTATCTGTCACTGACCGACCGTTCCTTCTGCAGGGTGAACAAGGCCGAGGTGTTCAACAAGATGTCCCTGCACAACCTGGCCACGGTGTTCGGTCCAACTCTGCTGCGGCCGGGTCCGCAGGCCGACTCTGCCGTCCAGCCGGACCTCCTGGCTGCCGGCACGGTGGACGTCATGGCTCAGGCCGGCATCCTCTACTTCTTCCTGCAGCGCCGCAGTAACGGCGAGCCCATCCAAGTGGGGGTGGATGGAGCAGACAGCTGACTGCAGCCGGAGCAGGACAGAGGGTGGGAGGGACGGGGAGAGGGTGGGAGCGCGCCAGGGACCAACACCGGCCGCCAGAGGGCCCGGCAAATGTGAAACTGCGAGTGAAAACGGCCCGAGAGTATTTTGAATGGACGAGTGTGTGTGTGATGATGCCAATTGAAGAAAATGTCGCAATTTGAGCTGAGGGTTGAACCAAGAGTCGATTGGAGTACCGTATCTGTTGCGCTGGTGTCTGTAGTGTATAGATGGCTCGTGTCGAGCGCTGCTCCGATCACGCAAACAGCGGCCCAGCGATCGACGTCACCTGGCGCTTCCTCTGCGGCTGGCCAGCCGGCTTCCCGAGTGTTTATTTTCTACGTTTGTGTTTGCAATGTGACTCTCCCGCTGGGATTCGCTGGGGTCTGTCGAGGAGCTCCTGGGGCCCTGGTAGGGGGAGCACGGGCCGTGCGTCCCTCCGGGGGGATTCTTGGCGTACTCCGTGCTGCCGGAGCTGGGTCTAAGACGGGACCACGCGGGCAGGGGTGGGCCAGCGAACAACGAGGGCGGACTGCCGCCGCCGGCCGGCCGGCCTGCTCGGTCGGATTGGTTTAAGCGTTTAAACTAGTCACCGCTTGTGATGGGGGTCACCAAGATGTCGGCCCGCATAATGTGTATCAATTGCATTTGTTACCCGTGTGCCAAGTGTATACCGATCAGTGTGTACTGTGCTCTGTGCGGTTCGTGAGTACAGTGTGAACTGTGTTCTACGTGGCTTGAGCTCAGAAAGCCCGAGAGGAGCCGTGTTGCGTCTCTCCTCGTTTTACATACGAATTGCGATGATGAAGAATAGGTTGTGTATTTCGAACAGGATTCGTTTGAAAGTGCTTCTGTGCGCATTGTTGTGCATACGTTAGCCATGCTACGGTTATCCGCAAATAAACCTTTGCATGGCACTGTTATTTTTTCGTGGAATGAAAAGAAACCAAAGGCACTTTTCTGTTGCACCAACGTAGCTTGTTAGCTTTGTGAGCAGACGCCCACACATTGCTTTTAAGGGGGAGGGGGTGACATTCGGCTTCTTTGCCAATGTCCCAGATGGAAAGGGCTCTCAGCGCTGTTAAATTTTGCTCCGTCCGAGCTTTTGTTTATAAATGCTATGAAATGACAAACACTGATTTACGTTCAAGGTCTCTGCGTAGAGACCCTCAAAAACGGTGAGGGGCTCCAGGATATGGAGACCCATGAATCGAGGGGACAGGAGCTACTGTGAGAACCTTCAAGAGGCCAGCGTAGGGGCCTCAAATTTCAGGGTGAGGACTGTCACTGTTAAGCAGATGTTGAGCCCAGGAGCCTGCTTGTCAGCTCAGATAACCCTGCATAAGGGGCGGGTCTTAAGAGCTTAGGTGGGGTCCTCCGAGGCCCCTTTGACCCTATAAGATGGTATTGAGCACTAGGAATCTGCGCGATGCCACCAAAGGCCGGCTTGGGGCCCCTAAGAGCCGGTGTAGGTTCCCAATTTCCTGGGTGGGGCCTTCTGATGTCGGCGAGGGGCCTTAAGATGTCGACGAGGGAACCCCAGGAGCAGGTTGGTGCATCGTGTAGCCGGCGTGGGGGCCCAGGAGTCCGCATGGGACCCTCTGTTATCTGTGGGTCCCTCAGAGACCGCCGCGAGGGTTGCCAGAGGCCGTCGTGAGGACCTTCAGAAGCCAGGGTGGGCCACTGGTGCCGGCGAGGGGCCCTTAGCGATCAACGAGTGGGCTCCAACAACAGACAATAGACATGGTGCATCGAGAAGCCTGAGTGGAGAGGGCCCAAGAAACTGTGGGCCCCAGGAGCATGCATGGGCCAAGATAGATCTGCGTGGGTCCGCAGAGGTCATCGCGAGGGGCCTCAAAAGCCGGCATGTCCCTCAAGCTTCTTGTTGCACGGACCCGTCTGCCCCATCCCCACCCCTTTCCGTGTGCGTCTTGGCTGCGAGATAAGTTCGCAGGAGCTCCCAACCCTGTGCAACTCATTCCCTCACAGTCACACTAGAACGTCCACATATATTCGTTAATTCAAAGCACTCCTAGTTTAAGTACAACGGCAATATATGGCCAAGCTGTTTTGGGAGCCGTCACAACTGCCCGACAGTCAACAAAACCGCCGTGAGGGGTCTGGCCGGTCCCGGGCAGACGTCCTGTCCCCTGGCGGCGACACTGACATCAATACAGCGCCGCCGCCCTCCGTTCGGCACATTGCACACGAAAAGCTACTCACCTAGCACGACCTAACACGGAAAGCTGGGAGGGTCGCCGGCCGACTGACCGTCGCCAGCGGTCTGCACAGTACAAATGGATGACGGCGACCACGCAGCGATGCCACGTCGAGCGTTGAACACAGATGACTGTTGAAGGATGGGTGCGCGAGCGACCGTGAGAAGATGACGTGTGACGTCGGACGCACAGTAACGCCTCAGAGTGGCGTCAATGAGCGTAGAGAACGAGATGAGATTGGCCTCGGCGGCGCCGGGGGGCCGGGCAGCCGCCGGTGCCGGCACACAGTAAACGCACACATGCATAGACACGATAGCGCGCGGATCCGCCACGCACGCCAAATGACCCGAGAATGACACGATTAAGAATCTCGAAGTGACGCGCGACGACGCGTTGAACAGTCAACACTTCTGTCATGAACGTTGTCTTGGGGCCACCGCCACCACCGCCGCCGCCGCCGCCGTTTGACGTCGATGAGATGTAATGCCCAGTGTGGCGGCCGGGCTGAGTGGGGCGGCGCCTGGATTTCTACTCTACAGCAGGTAACAAACGGAGTCCTAGAGTGGCCGGCCTCAATCGCCGCTGGGTGCTGACTTGACTACGACCGGCTTCACGTCCTGGGAGCACGCCTCCTCCGCCACGTGGACCGGGGAGCACCCGGAGGACACCTGCCGGCGAACGGAGAGACGTTAGTTTTACGAGCTGCACGCTGGGGGCAGACAGGAGTGATGAGCTGGGACTAGCAGGTTTAATAGCAGGACTAAGAGCAGGACTAGCAGGTTTAATGGGACATGAGACACCAGTCAGAGACTTCAGCAGTCATTAGAGAGCAATCCCCCGCGCCAATTACACATGATAAGCGGCGATTAGATGATAGTTCTGGTAAATTGTGTCCTGCAACAGTTTTAGCTTCTAACATCAACACCTGAACTTCTTTCCACATATCTTCGGCGACCTACATGCAGTGTGAAGAATAATTACAAAATGCACATTCGGTGAAACACTCTGGGGCCGGGCGTCGCCGGCATTTTCAAACATTTAGGAAGGGCTTCGTCAAGTGCTTGCATAAAATGAATCAACACCGAAGATTTTACGAAAACAGCCTGTAGCGACGAACTGTGAAAAGTAGACGAATTCTGAACATAAAACATTGAAGAACAAAACACGATGAAAGTGCAAATAAGATACAGGCAGTACAGCTGAATGCGAAACGCGTAAACTCAGACATGAGAAATGATGGTTTGATTACGATGGCTTGCGCAGCATCGTACACAAGAGTATGACAAAACGAAGTAAACAATATGCTGTAAACAAAACGGTGATCAACCAATAAATCAACACCATACAATATGACGAAACGGACAAACGTGAAACAACCATGCATGACGAAGTTGCCGCCACTTCTGAACATCTGAAGCTTTCCTGAAAAATGAAAACACCAGCCTCTGCGGCATGCCTGGACTGCGACCACTACCTTGCCGCAAACCACAGCAGCCATCACAGCTCGACATCGAAAGCATGCAGTGGCGGCGTGAGCCGGGCGGGCGGGCGGCCGCAGCGGTGCCAGGGGCGGGGGCGGCAGACAGGCAGCTCACTGCCGCCTGACCTGACTGATCTCGTCGATTTCATCCGACTCGGCGATCATTTCGACCGTGATGGGCTCGGCATCGCCCTCCTCGGCCTCGGCCGTCTCAGAGGTCTCGTCTGACTCCAGTTTTGGTAGGTGCACCACTGGATGCACCACCTAGCAGCGGTGGTGGTGGGCGGTAGCGGAGGGCTGGTTAGTCCCATCCCTCTGGTACCCGAGGGTGCAGGAGAGAGGGTCGGACCGGCCGCGCACGGGTCACCCAAGGCCATCACCGAGACACTAACACACGGCAGCGAGGAAACGGAAGAGACTGGCCACACTGCTCATTATAGTTGATTAGGCATCAAATTTCTGAAAATTGTTCCCTAATTCACCTGGGTGAGGCGGCACGCTGACTAGTGACCAGCCATTTTTATCTTCCACCAAGAGAGCATATAGCCAGTTTCTCAGTGTTTCATTGCCTCCCAAACAAAACCACCACAAACATAAGGAAAAAGTTAACAACCCAAAGCACCAACGGCAGCAACCGGCTTCTGGTTAGTGTAGGAAACGCCACCGTGCGGTGTGCTACCCCACAAACACACACCCGCAAAAGCCAGCGTTCCACTGGAACTGGCACTGGTTCTGTTAGTGAAGGCAGACGTTCCATGGTAACTAATGCACGTCCCATTAGAAGACACACGCGTCCCGTTAGTAAACAAGCAACAGGTTAGTAAACAATAAACATAACACCAGAACCCACCACTACTATCAGCCGCGCAGTTTTCATCACCGGACTCTGGCTGGTAGCCTGTCAAGTAAAGGACCGGGTCAGGTCAGGTCAGGGTGGCGGGTCGGCGAGCCGTCCTACCTGCAGAGTCTGGCCGTCGGCGCTCTGAACGTGTTGTACGTTGGCCACCACCGTGTGGTACATGGACGAGCTGATCGGGATCGTCACCATGTTGCCCGCCGAGAACGCTGCCAAAGGGGAAACATGAGGGGTCAGCAAGCACACGGGCAAACGACTAGCTGGTCTGTGAAAACAAACAGGCAAGTCTCGAAAAGGAATACCCACGCATTTCCGTAAAGACGCAGCCAACGAAGCAACGATCATGCTACTAATGAACTGAAGCATGTTGACGGGAAATGGCTCTAGTACACAATCAGACATAGGCCAGTAAAATTGGCTTCACTTATTCCACACCCAACCAAACCTGCACCCTGCAACAACCACCAAACGAGCTTCACTGTCCCTCACACGTCCACTCCTACGTCCCGTCGTCCACCACACCCTTCGTCATCCACACGCTTCCGTGTCCCCTCCCTTCACTCCATCCCCATCCATCCGTACCACTCCTCTCACCTGCGTCATCTCCGACACCGTTGAGTACCAGATGTCCCTCGGCATTGATGGTAGCCTCGGTGACAGAGCTCAGGTCGATGTTCATCGTCTGGCCACCGTCTCCGTCCAGGCCGTCCGCCTGAAGCATAGACGAAGGCTAGACACGGCCCGCGCAGCCGGTCAGGGTCAGGTCGGGGTGGGGTCAGACGTGGACACGGGAGTGTGACCCGCAGTTGCGGTACAGGTGACGCACTGATGCCGGGTAATCTGTGAAGGAAATGCGCTAAAAACCAAAACACTCAAATAAAGCGTCGTCTTATGATGACTTCCTCCTGGAGATCAGAGCGAAAGTTTGGTGGGGGCCTACGAATACATTGTTGCACACAACACATTTTAATCGACCTTGACAACAGTATCTGGTCATTGGGCGGCTGGTGGCGGTCTGACGTGAATTTCAAACGATGGTTAGCGAGGCGTCTGCTCGACGAAAGTTCGAAGACAACAGCCGAGGATTACATGACGAAGCATCTGGTATTCTACGGACTGGCCAACAGTCATCTCATGTGGGACTAGCTGCAGCCAACTACACTCTAGCTTTCAACATATAATTCTCTCTATATTCTAGCCATTCTGTAGTCTAGTTCTAGCAGCACCAACTAAACCACCTCACTACCGTCCCCTACCCCTACCTCCCCAAAATCGAGTCATACGACCCAAGATAACTATTATGCCAGCAAGACAGCGCCGCTGGCAGCTGTTCCCTCACCGTGGTGACGCCCTGCACGTGCGCCTGTGTTCCGTCTGGCAGTGTGATGACAGGGTTGTTGGGGTCCACGTGGATGATGCTGACGGTGCCGTCGGGGTTGCTGATGGTCTGTACCACCGTATGGGAGTACTGGGAGGGCACGTTCTGCGGCAGACAGGTCAGCGAGCGAGTTGATAGTGTGGTCAGCGGGAGAGGTGGTGGTCGCAGCGACTGGCGGATGTCCTTCTGGGACAGCAATCAAAGGCAGGTTAGATACATGACAGTGGTTGGCATGAGAGAGCGTCTAGATAAGCTTATGTCAACACAGGATAGACAACTCGGCGGTTATTAGATAGAACTCTACCAATCGGCAATATTCATCGACAGAAGCAAGCGCTTGCGAGGTTCTTCCCCAGAACAGCAGGACGTAGTGGCTGACTACACTACTGCAAACTTTCATCACTACTCACTACTCCTATTACTGAACTACAGCTGCGCCACTCACCAGTCCCTGCAGGTTGAGTTTGGGCGGCGCGGTGCGTATGACGCCTCCCGGCGCGCCGCCTCCCCCTCCTCCCGCACTGCCGCCGGTGCCGCTGCCACTCCCCGGCAGTGATTTGACCTCGTCATCGTCAGAGAAGGCCGGCAGCAAGTCGTCCCGGCCGTGGTACCGGTAGCAGTTGATGACGATCTGCCGCAGCGCGTGCGTCCACGACACCTGGTGTCCGCAGAGACGGGGTGGCGCTGGGTCAGCGGTGGCAGGGCTGAGAGCTGGGAGAGGGAGCGAAACAGGGGAGGAGAGGAGGGGAGATGAGAGATGAGAGGAGAGGAGAGGAGAGGAGAGGAGAGGAGAGGAGAGGAGAGGAGAGGAGAGGAGAGGAGAGGAGAGAAGAGGAGAGGAGAGCAGAGGAGAGGAGAGCAGAGCAGAGGAGAGCAGAGGAAAGGAAAGGAGAGAAGAGGCGAGAAGAGGTAAGCAGAGGACAGGGAAAAGGGAAAGTGATAAAGAGTGGAGGACACTGATCAAGAAGATGGAGAGGGAGATGTCATTACCTACGATGGACTGCTAAAGGGATTACACGGACAGAAAATCAAAACAGAAGGGAGATTTGAAGCAGAGGTAAAGAGTGGTCACGTAAAGGGGAACACATAAACTGGAATAACACCAATTATTGTACCAAACCGATGAGGGCTTACTCTCTCTTTGGCCCGAAGTTGGCACGTTTAACGGATTAATTGAGTGAAGGACAATCAAAGCGACATCACATTAAGGCGGACATATATAATGGCGTTGCAGTAGAGTTAATGAGGCCGGCTGAACTGAATGCAGAACTATGTAAATGTAACGGTAACCGCTGCATGCCGGTAGAACGATAAACATCACGCTAAGTGCACGTCACAACAACCAGACTAGTCAAAGGCAAACGGCAACGCTAAAACCAACAAAGCGCGGCGCAAAACCAAAGAAACAAAAAAGGGGTGCGTACTTTGGCCTTATCCTCCTCGTTGCGGTTGTCCATTCTGACATTAGCCCACGGCACGCCTTTGGGCCACCAGTCGGGACGCGCCGACAGCTTGCCCCAGCCGGGCTTACCCTTGCCTAATGGGAACACATGCAAACGTAAGCCAATAAGTACAGAGAACGACACAGAGCCATGCGCGGTGCGCCGCCCCGGTCGGGGCCGGTGGGCCGGTCGTCCGGCCGGGGCGGGTGAGTGAGTGATGCCGCCTCCCGCCGGCCCGTCACCTTCTGCTTCTGTTCGTCAGTGCGCGCGTCCATGCGCACATTGGCCCAGGGCACGTCCTTGGGCCACCAGGGCGGCCGCGTGGCGTCCTTACCCCAGCCGGGCTTGCCGCGGCCTGGGGGTGAGCGGCGGCGGCCGCCGTGAGCCCGAGACAACACGACACGACATGGTGCTAACAGAGGAACATCCTTCGGAAAGGTGGGATAATACGTCGCAAACAACCAGCACGGCATAGCATAACAAGCCACAGCCACGGCACAGCTGCTCAGTGCATGTACCATACGAGAGACGTGACTGAAGGGTATGGCACAGCACAGCCTGCAGGGCACGGCACGAATGGACTGACGTCACGGTGGATACTAGGCACAAATGATGGAAAAGTGTGTCTTCTGCGACATTAGGAACGATACGGCCGGGACGCATATCTCGGACACGCGCTGTATGATACCAGGCACCAGACACTGCACAGACGCGTACAAATAGAGCACGATATCAGATATGGTCCTCAGTCTATGCACACGACAGTGCAGTCCCCCAAACAGAGCGTAGAGCCAGGCACACCAGTAAAGACGCGCACAACAGCTGGTGCACGGCATTACACACAGCCTCTCCCCACCCGCACTGCATAATACAGGACACAGAACCAGATACACTGGAGCTGCACCGTTCACCACCCCTACATCACCAACGCATTCCCACGCAGGACACAGTGAATTTGGTAACGAAAAAGGGCTTTAATGGAGCAGCCAAAGTGTGAACAATCTTCAGACCACGAACCACGAACGTGGGAAAGCGAACAAGGTACTGACTGCATGGCCCAGACTGGGGCCAACGGCTGTCGGACGCAACATCCATCCATGAAAACTGGCCTCCCCTTACGTAAAATACACCAACACATTTTTGATTAGACAGCAGACAAGCGACGGCAGCGGTTTTCCTGTAGCGTTACCCACACAGACTAAACCTGGCACCCCTCCTTCGCCACACGCACGTCGGGGACCCAGGGCAACGAGGGCTCAGCCGTGCACGCAACTGGCTCTCCCCCCCCCCCCCCTCCGTTTAGCGGGATCGTTACGTTAAAACACCCACTTCCCCTCTCCCCTCCCCCCGAATACGATCGACATATTCAATACCACAATTACCCTAATTCCCCGGCCCTGTAACATGTAGCACGATCAATATCCACGCACGTCGCACACTAACTAAATCCGCGTCCCGACCACATGCCGGCCCTGCCCGTACCGGCCTCCCTGTCCCCTTCCACTCGTCCGACTACGGCATTTTGTAACATATTCCGCGAGTCATGCACGGCACGAGTTATAGAGCCAATCAGTGTTTCTATCTTGTCAACACAGAGCAGGCCCGGCAAGCTTACACAATACACGGGGCAGGGTACGGTGAGAATAGAAACAGGCCTGCCATCATTGGCAGTCGTCTGGCACGGAATATATAGTCTGTCGTAGACTATATATTCCGTGCGTCTGGTCAGAGACTCAAAAGTCACCATCAACAAAGCGTCAGTACGAAAAGTACTTCGTTTCAATTACGGTAAGTGGTGATGGAAATATGTAGAGCTTAATTCGCTAAAACACCTCTCAACACACAGGGTGCGCACTGATAAGGTTTGAAATCAAACACAGCTTTTTTCTTGTTTTTGAATGGCCAATAGGTGGCTACATAAGTAAAGATAGTGAATCTGCCTATGAGATGCAATGACTTGAAGTTCGATTTATACAACCGAATCAACAAAACCTATTCGAACACTGAGTTGAGCAACACCATACCTTGTCTGGACTGAGGGTAAAAATTTAACTTAACTGCAGCTGATCTATTTCACAGCACAGGGGGGGGGGGGGGGGTGGCATCTCCACATCCAGTGTCGACCTACCTGTCGAATACTTTAGCATGAGTGGTATGAACGCCCTCAGTTGTGCCTGGGTCATCTTTTCGACCGGCGTGGGGATGCCATCGATGACGAGAGGAGGCAGCTCGTGCCGCGACGGGTCGTCCTGGACGGGCGGCGGCGCGTGCCTCGACAGCGCCGCCTCCAGCTCCTGCATTACCGGTACACGCAGCGCGCGCATCTGAAAGGGGACGGAGAGGGGGAGGAGATCAGCCTGGTGGGAGAGAGGGGACCAGAAACACAGGCAGTTCTTCACTAGATCTTTAACTCTGATCAGATGTTGTTCGTCGGATCTATCCAGTAGTTAAGTGCGCATATGCTTATTGATTAACAGTAGCTCATGTTATCAGATGATATTTACGCTTAGATTCGCAGCTTCAGTAGATTTAACAGAGGGCGCCAACAAGCCCACAGCCGAGCTGCTTCACGCATATCGCTCGCCGTAATTCAATTCCGCCACTTCCCCAGTGACCAGTCACTCACCACATCTTCCAGCGGTTTGGCACCGAACACCTTGTAGCTGTTGTTGGGTTTTCCGGGCGTGACAAACATGACCACTGCCTGCTGGCCGACCCGTGTCGTGTACTCGTCGATCGTTTGCTGCGGCACGACGGGCGGTCAGCGGTCAGGGGGAGGCACGACGAGAGGTCATTGGTAGGGGGTCGGGGGGGGGGGCACGACGGAAGGGGGTCAACAAAGATCGGAAAGGGGATACGGCGAGCGATCACCGGTCAGGGGGGGGGGCATGACGAGAGGTCTTTGATAGAGGGTCGACGGGGGGGGGGGGGCACGACGGAGAGGTCAACAATCGGGGAGAGGGGTCACGGCGAGCGGTCACCGGTCGGGGGGAGGCACGATGGACGGTCACTGATAGGGGAGCGAAGGAGCGTCCAAGGGGACACAGTGGTGATTGGCGACGAAAGTGCGGCGGTTGGGTCAGGGACATTAGGTCAGACGGTACATGGCAATCGAACACAGGGCTGAATAGTTGTTCACAAGCATCGGACTCGTGCCCATTCGTGATTTCCAACAGATTGAGGAAAAGTGAGAGAAGCTCTACGAAAAAAAAAAATACAGTCGAAGTTCAGGTGTTGCAAATTTAACTTTTTGACGGCAAACGCCACTTCAGCCTCCACCAGTCGATAAGTAAGGGTTTATGGAGCCTTCAGCGCAAAGCGCCGTTTCTATTTTTCACATACAGTTGTCCGACTACCACACTACGATAAACAATATCGTCCTTGACAGAGAATTAAAACAGCATTCGAGCATTTGTAATAACATAAAAATGCCTACATCAAAAACGTCGCACTAAACTGCATCATCAGGTAACCAGCCCACCTTCAATTTTCGAATCAGCCGCGTCTGCTGTCGTTTTCGTATTGACGGATTAGTCTCGAAGGCGTGCGGCCGTTTCCGTTTTTTCGCCGACGCGATGGCGGCGGCTGCGGCCACCCCGACGGGGCCTGCGGCAGGGCGGGGCGGGGCGGGGCGGGGTATGTTATTGGCCGTGAGCCAGAGCGCGGAGGAGTCGCAACCGGATACCAGCCGGCCGCCGGGGGACGGGTCTCGCGACTTCCTGCCGCTCGGAGAGGGTCACTGCGGGGCAGCGCCGGAGGCACCCGAGGCGGCAGAGGGTGACCTTGAATCGGACACCAGTCACTCAGAGGATGTCACAGCTGTTGTCGGGGCGTCCGAGCGAGCCAGGCCGGGGCCTGCGCGGCGCAGAATCTCTGACAGGGGCACGCGTCCAGTGCACATTGCACATTATACCTATACCACTTCACAGCTCCGACAGCAGTGCAGCATCGTCGGCTTACATCAATCCCCCCCCCCCCCACACACACACACACCGATCAGCCGTCAACGCACACGTGCGCATCTGCACGACACAGTTGGCGGCTGGCCAGCGGGGATGATCCACCCCTCCCCCCTCCCACGAGCCCCACCTGCGGCGGCCAGCTGCGCCGTGACCTCGTCCTGGGTCATGCCCGAGGTCATCAGGCCGTCGTCGTCGTCGTACGATCCTGCCGATGAGAGCATGTCGTCGTCGTCGTCCTCGGAATCCATCCTGATGTCCTGGTGAATCGTCTCGGCAGCAATGTTCAGCGGGTTGTCAGAGTTCATGGCGATGCGCGGCCCGCCGCACGCCGCCGATCTGAAACGGTCAGAGCGATACAGTTAGACTGGACGATTCAAATTGTACACTGACTTGTCCTCCAAGCGGGCACATGCGGTCAGACGAGTTGTAATGTTGGACAAAGGGCTTATCTGACACCCCACGTGATGACATAAGATACCCTCAGACGTCATGTACCGGAGAGGGCTCACTGAGCGGCACACGCGCGCACACAGCTCACCCACTCCAGACCGCCGCACACAAGTGAAACGGATCTCCGCAGCTGGCTGAGAACTCCTCCCCCCCCCCCCCCCCGAGCAGTCAGTCCAACAACACCGATGGGGGTACGCGCCGACTGATACCCCCTTCCCTCCCCCCGCCCAGCCGTGGTGTGGAACCGTCGTGCGGCCGACCTAGAGAAATGCCCCTCTCCTCAACAGCCAGTCGGGCGTCACACGACCCCCCCCCCACACACACACACACACAAGGTCCAGCATGTTCCAGAACCGTCATCTGATCTGATCCATGCCGACAGAGGTCAGCCTGGAACCCTTCCCCCACCACACAAACATACATTTGTCCGATCCGAAGACCGAAGAATGTGTTCCGATCCGAGCAGACTGAGACGGTCAAACCGAATCACCGGAGCTAAGCCATCCGACGGTACCTACGACTCAAGTTCCAAATGTCCCAAATCTCTAATCTTTTAAATAAAACTAGGCTCCGCTCCGGTTCTCTGCACCAAATGACAACAAAAACGAGTGACGTGAGCTCCATACGAACTGATCCGCTATCCCCCCCCCCCCCCCAAATGCACTATTTTTACCCTCCCAAATACTACGAGTACCGCATCTTATGGTTGGAACTTCTCATCGACCCGTTACCATAGTAACGAGAACGGCCCACGATTGGTGGCGGAGATGTCTGGAAAATCAATAATTCCAGCCAGTTTCCTTCACCGTGCGTTCAACCGTCGTAAACCATATGCTAAAATTGTGTCCTGAACATAAATGGATTATATGCATCGAAACCCTCGTCAAATGTTGGATGAACTCCGATCACATCTTAAGACCATCAGGAATTGCCCAAAGAGCTCTACGTCCACATCGTATCTCCGCCGACTGCGGCGGACAACAAAACCGGGGACGAGATTCGTCGCCCTCCCAACCCCGAAGGGCATCGGGGCCCACTGGTCAGCAGGCCGCCCCCGACGGCGCCCCCGGATCGGGCACGGTTCCTCACATGCGTAGTACGATTTGCCGAGGAACGCAGGCCCAGCGAATTTTGGCTGTGTACGGCTGCGTGTGCACCTGCGTCCCGTCCTCATTTTGGTTCAGTTGGTGACCGACAGTCGCCCAGTGATCACTGTGACTTTGGTGGCAAAAGTAGCTCACTTTGACTTAATAACGCAGCAGTGCCCATTTGAAAACTTGTGCAACCACTCTGAGCAAGAAGATGTCCCGAAATTCCATAAAAATCGGTTCCGGGCGCGCGGACGCCATCAATCGCCCGAGGCGTTATGGCGGCCTGACACCATTTTTACTGAGTCTGCGCAGTAGAGTTCAGCAGAAGGCTTTACAAAAGCGACCACCGTGCGGAACGAAGACATCCAGGTATGGGCCCATACTGTATGCTATTCCAGTAACAACTATTCTACTTACCAACTTAATAGCTCCAGGCAGCCCCAGCACGTTTTCACCACTCGGTACCAAACTCCCAACGCAAATAAAGGCAATTGTCGACCGTGTTTTATCTGCTGCCATCTATCGGGATTCCGAATAACTGAGTGATACAGCAAAGAATCTAAAATATTGCTTGATAAGATTAACAAAACTGTTATGTCTCTTACTGATACGTAATAAATTTGAAAACTGTATTATAAAATTTCAGTTTTATTGCCTATTTTGACCTTTTTAGTAAATAGTAAACCATAAAGTTGTCACCGTCATGTACGGTTTATTTTGTACTCGACTGCGACCGCATTCCGTTTTCGCCGGTGGAGAAAGGCAAGGTGGGCGGTGGGCGATTTTTGTTTTGTTTATTCAATATTTTTGTTGCAATTATTGACTGTGCTGCTATAATTCGTTTTCCGCGCCTTTTGGTGTTCTTGCCGTTGTCTGTTCCACTGCTTCTTGCTGCTTTTTGTGACTTTGATATGACTGGGGAATTTTATATTTATATATTTATAATTTTATATTACAGTGTACTATACATAATTAATTATAACTCTTTTATAATTGTTTTCATGTGTATCAGTTTTACCCAGGGCTGTGGAGTCAATAGGTTTTTGGTGGTTCGGACTCTCACTCCATCTCCGTCTTTTAAAAATCAACTCTGACTCAACTCCTGTCCTGGCTGAACTGTATACTGTGACCAACTCCAACCCTGACTCCACAGCCCTGCCACAATAGATTTTCAGTTATTTACTCTGGAGTCTGGCTCCAGTTTCTAACATTGATGACTGTGACTATTATTTTTGACTCCAACCAACTGTTGACTCTGCAGTCCTGGTTTATGCCCTATGCCTTTTTGGATTTTTGTATTTGTTTTGATTGTCAAAATTTTAAAGCTTTCTTGCCACCCTGGCAGATCCAGAGGGGGGCTTTGGAGCTGGAGATGGGTGTAGGCATAGTCCCTCAGGCCTGAAGTGGTCCAATTTGTAGAACTTTTCATGTTTTAGGCACTTAATGTGTGGCTGTACCACAGTAAAAAGCTAGCTTTTTTGCATAAAGTTCATTCGATTTTCTTTTCAGGTAAAAAACTGTACATATGCTATATTTATCAATTTTGGACCAATTGCAAGAGGGGAAAATCCCTATAGGTACCACCTTGACCTTGGCTTTGAGTGTCAGTAAATTTACAGGAACCAAAATATGTGCAGCCCATAACATTTACCATGATGTGAGGATGCACTAAGCCTGAAAAGGTAGGTGCCTACCTGCTACAATTGGATTGCCAAACACTGTTTAAGCTGATTGATGAAGCTATCAATTTTCCCATTTCATGCTTAGTTTTGTGTTTATTGGCAGGGTAGGTGTCTGAATTTGATATCATATAAGTTCTGACTCCCCACCTCGATGGCTTCCTTACCTATTTGCATTGCAGCTCAATTCCCATGCATTAGATGAGTTTAGTTAGGGTCTTAGTGCTCACTGCTCATCTTGAAGGGCAACTCCTACATTAATCCTTGCTTGAGGTTGGGCTTTGTTGATTTGTGTTCTCATTACTTTTGAACTAACTCCAAAATTTCCCTTTTAGGAATTAGGGTCTCATGGAATGCATAGAGTCATATGAATTGACGGTGTCAACACAGCATTTACTCATATCACAGTGTGAGAGGCATGTGCCATGTGTGGTTTAATATCAAATCTTCAGGCTTCCTATTCGATAACTAGCTAGGATCTTCTCTGCATCATAGGTAGGTACTAAGTGACTGCCTGTGAGCGGCAGCTGAGCAGTAATTAGTCATCCCTCCCCGTGTCTCCCCATCAGCGTCCATGGTAATGGCCGACAAATGGCTACTTGTCGACGATCAGGGTGTCGCCAGGTGCGCGTGCCGTATCGCTCGGCACACTTGTCCGGCTCTGATGGCCGCGTTAGGGACATATCCTCCGCCGGTGAGGCTGCTGGGCGGTGCTGTGGACTGTGGACTCCACGACAGACGGCAGGAAGCGGCCGGTGTGTGAACCTCGTGTGCTCTGTCGCAGGTACTACCATCGGTGGAGGACTGAGAGCGGCGAACAGCGACTGTTCGGAGGGACGACCGGGTGCCGATCGTGCGGCCGACGCCCGGTGGGGTCTGCTCAGTGGTCGACACAGCTGTGTTAAGGGTAAGTTGTTGTCTCAGTTGCATCGGGCTGGTGGTGGGTGAGTGGTGCATGATGCACCAGGCTGAGTGGTATTCAACTCTTCAGTACTATGTTAGACTGTGAGGTGTTGTCCGTGCTGATCTGAATTCCCTAGCTGTGCGAGACTGAGTGCATACTCGACCTGCCGATAGGCCTCTGTCTGCCTCTGTATATCGAGGTCTATACAGCTTACGCCGGTATACAGAGGTCTATGCCATGACATATTGATGGTATTTGGTCGCCGCTAGGTTACGTTAGACGGTGAGGAACATTTATCGTTGATGAACTGTCACCGAGTGGCATTCGTGGCTTGTCTCGTCTGTTGTTGCGAGGTCGACCTATGTAGGTTTTTGTGGGCTTGGTAACAACACTTCGACCGGACTGCACGGGATATCGACCTGCAGCTTCTGAAATGTTAACGACTTTTGACCGTCAACGATTTAGTATGTATATTTTCCCGCGTCGCTTTTCTATTACGTTCCCAAATTCAATAGATCTGAATTCTTCAGCAGCTTTGCGTGTAAAATGTTGCATCTCTAGTGTCAACTTTGGCCTGTTTGCTGCACCACGGTAATTGGACCCAGTTGAGACCAGTTAGTAGGGCTGTAAATGCGCCGGCCGACGTACCGTCTCGGCGGCCCGACTCGTCAGTGTGGGGCAGAGTTCGTCTCTCCACGGAGCTGGGCTCGTCTCTCCGATCGGTGGGTGTGGAAGAATAGTGACAGAACTTATATAATAGGGTGTCTCGAAAGTGGGGTCAAAAAAAATAATTCACTTCCTATAGCAAAAACCACTTGCATCTAGCCTTATTATGACATGAAATGATGATTAAAAAATTCTCATTTAATGTTAAGAACCAGCGCACCTCGTCTATCGTAACCCTTTCCTGACAATTTCAGGCGTTGCAGTCTCCATAGACTTTCTTCGGTGTTATTTTCACGTAAACCGTATAAATGCGTTCTCGCTTCAGCTTGCGATCTTTCAACGAATCAATACATTTGTTGCATAAACATTTACTAAAACACTTTCCTAGCGCAACATATCCAAAAATTGCTACCTGAGTGATACTCATCCTGCTGACAGTAGGTTATGCTAAAAGCTAATATCCATGTCGCTGACTAGGTAAAATGCAGTAAAAATGCCAACACACATGATATACGGCGTTTTCTACGTTTCTGTCTTGCTCTTGAGCGCACTCCATTCCATTTTTTTTTTTTTTTTTGTCCGGATAAGTGGGAGGTCGAGCCTTGACTTCGCACGGCTGACATTGATATCGGCCGTCATGGCCGACACGCTTCTGCGACACTATTTTGCGCTAGCAGCATTCCTCTGCTTCAGGAATCATCGGAGAACATCGCTTCTCCACGGAAGCTGCGTGCGAGGAAGACTAGCAAATCCGGATTTGCGTTTTTTGGGGGGCAACTCATGCAGGAGCCAAACCTACGTACCCCCAAATCCTATTTTCTCATCGGATTTAGGCCACTTATTTTTCGTCACAGCCCTGACACGATGAGCATTTTTTTTAACTAAAAAGAAAAAATATAGAAATGGTAACCCACCCGACCATTGCCTTTATATATCACTTTGTAAACACTTCACATTGCTTTTGTCGACCAGTTAACCCGCTCCGGGTCGGTGCTTGGCGCAACCTTTGCGGGCCGGGAGGTGGTAAAACATCCCCTGTTTAACTCGGCTCCTGGGCCACGCACTGATTGAACTATGTTTCATTATCGTTTGGGGGGGGGGGGCAAATAGGCCACTTTACCTTTGAGGGGGCATAGCCCAAAATGCCCCCTCCCTGCAGATCCGCCAGTGTAAGAGACCATTGGAGCTGGAGGAAGGTCTGCTAGGTGGACATTCAGGACCAGGACCACGGTCTGGTTACGGGTACTTGGACCGGGCTTTGCCATGGCCACCACCAATGCATACATCGACAGTCGACACCATCACGAGAGTTCAATCCACTGCAGGGGGCCCCAGCCCCTCGAGGTAAAACTCGTCAAGCCTCCAGGCGGCAGCGGGCGTCGTTCTCGTCCTCGCCAAGTGGCAAGTAGGCTCTGGACACGAGACGGCTCACAGTTGTGGCTTGGGTACTATGATTATGGTTAGAGCAGACGAAAGTTATCACTGTGCTGCTACCGCGGTTGGGCTCGAGGGGCTCGAGTGTCGACTAGGCGTCTGTGGCGCTAGCGTGTCTGGTCCGAGTTCCGACTGAGATTATGGGCTGGTGCCGGACGTGGTTTGTCCAGAGTTTAGCTGCGCTGAAGCGAAGTTCGCATTACAGACGTGACTTTAAAAAGTGTATCGACAACGTCTACACTATGTAAATAAAGTCAATTAACTACCGACCTGAAACTACGCTTAAACTCTTCGCCCACGAACTCTGCCTGAGACTTTCGTGAAAACCACCGTACTATTACTGCCACTAACACCAAGCAAAACCAATGGAGACTGCAACGCCCGAAAAGTAGGTGCAAGCTTTTGGAAATCGCGACTGCGCTTGTTGAAGACAATGGCTCATAATTTTTTTATTGCGATTTTCGAAACCAGCAGACTCGATTGCAAATGTTTTGGACTATAGGCATGTCAACTTTATTTTTCGAGACACCCTATTATATAATTCTGGCGTTAATTTTTGTCATTTTGTCCTGGAACTTTTTGTGCTTTGCTCTTAGCCAGTTGTTCGTGATT